CCCCCCCGCCAACCTTGAGGGCCCACCTAGGGGCCCCTCACTACCTGGGATGCCCCCCATAGGGGCCTGGGGGGCCGGCCCAGAGGGGCCCCTCACAACCCGGTTCTCCAACACACCTGGGGCCCCTGGGGGGCCCCTGGGGGCCCCCTACGGGGGACCCATCTAGGCGCCCTCTGGAGGGCCCCTCAACCCCTTGCTTTGGGAGGCCCTCCGAGGAAGGAACCTGATGGGGGCCCCTGCGGGGGCCCCCGAGGGGGGCCCCTCCCTCTCGGGTTAATATAGGGCCCTGGGGCTAGCTAGGAGAATGATTTCGATAGCTGTTCATTGAAGAGGAATACCCGCAGCTAGCCATGGCTTGCTGCAGCTTCGGTACCTGAGCGAGCGAAGTGGCTAGCTGGGCCCCATCGCATAGCTAGCTGGCTAGCTGGCTAGCTGCCCGTCGGTAGTTAGGTGGCTAGCTGCATCCTAATGTCGGGTAGTTGAGGCATTTGCTCTCTCCTGCTGGGCTGCAGCATCTCTCTACACTTCCTAGCTAGCTAGCTAGCCAACTGGGTAGTTCTCTAGCTAGCCACCTGGGTACCTCTCTAATTAGCTAGCTAGCTAGCTAGCTAGCTAGCTAGCTAGCTAGTTAGTCCCTTATCTATCTAGCTCTTGTGTGTAGGTAGCTATGCAGCTAGCTGGCTAGCTAGCTCGAGGCCCTGCTAGCTGCAGCTAATAAGCAGCCATCAGCTGCGTGTATGATGACTCCTCTTGCCTCGTTGCAGCCCGGCGCTCTATCTCTCCAAACCCTAAACCCTAAACCCTAGACCACAGGATAAAGGGGACAGCAAAGGGTTCAGCTGTGGCTGTCTACCTGCTGCTGCTGAGGGTTTGCTGCTATGAAAACCCCCTTAAAGTCAGCAGCCCTTGAAGCCTTTTCTGCTGCTTCCTCTGCTGCTGCTGCTCTCAGAAGCGCGCTGTCTCCTGCTGCGAGCAGTTGCTGCTGCTGCAGCGTGAGGTGTACATACACCGGGGAGGCTTCGTGCAGGTCTTTGTGCTGCAGCAGCTGCTGCTCCGTCAGCAGCACTTGCTGCTGCTCCTGCTGCCAGGCAGCAAGAAGCCCCCAAGGGACCCTCAACAGCCCAAACTCAAGAGGAGACAGCCCCAGTTCCAGCAAAGAGATATGCATGCGCTGCAGCTGCTGCTGCGAGAAGCAAAGGCGCCTCTGTGGCCTCTGCAGCAGCAACACACACATACACGCACACAGGGTTTAGGGGTTGCTACCTTTGCTGCTGTTAGTGCTGCTGCTGCTGCTAGTGCTGCTGCTGCTGTTACCACTGCTGCTACAAGTCCTGCTGGTGTTCCTGCTGCTGCTATTGCTGCTGGTGCTAGTGCTGCTGCAGTAGCCCTTTCGGCGCTACGTCTGCTGTTGCTTCTGTTTCTGCTGCTGCTGCTGCTGTTGCTGCTGCTGGGGAGGAGACTGGTTTGTGCTTACGAGCATTTGCTGCTGCAGCGCAGCAAGCAGTTCAGGTGTACAGACACCCAAGCGAGAGACACACTGCCAGACTTTAACAACTGCATGCGCTGGCAGCTCTGAGGCCCTGAGGGCGAGATGTGCGTACACCAGAGACAAGCCCTGCATGCATGCAGCAGCAAACCCTTAGAGTCCCAGACACCTCAGCAGCAGCAGCAGCAGCAGCAGCAGCAGCGGAGTAGGAACAGCAGCAGCAGCAGCGGGAGAAGCAGCAGCAGCAGCAGCAGTCGGAGCAGCAACAACACCAACCGGTGTATCATCGTCGTGCCAAGGCATCAGCAAGGTGTGAAGCAGCAGCAGCAGGAAACGCAGCAAAAACAACAGCAGCAACAGAAGCAGCGCAAGAAGCAGCAGCAGCAGCAGCAGCAGCAACAGCAACAATTACCTTCCTATCAACAAAGGAGTTTGCTGCTGCACTTTCGAGGATCCACACCAAAGAATGCAGCAGGGGAGGAGGTGCCGCGTTTTTTGCTGTTGCTGCTGCTGCTGCGGTTGCTGCTGTTGTTGCTGCTGTTGTTGCTGCTGTTGTTGCTAATGCTGCTGCGTCTCCTCTCCTCTCTGCAGCAGCTTCCAGCTCTGCCTGCCCATCTGCAGCACCAGGGGACGCCGCCTCTTGCTGCTGCTGCTGCTGCTGTTGCTGCTGCTGCTGCTGCTGCAGCTGTGGCAGCGCAGCAAAGGCATAGGGCAGCAGAGCGGAAGCATTTAATTGAAGGCGTTTGAATGCCCTCAAAACAATCGCCAGCATGCATGCGGTGTAGCGCGCCTGATCTGCTGCAGCAGCAGGTGGAATTCCTGCTGCTGCTGCTGCTGCTGCTGCTTCTTCTTCTGCTGCTGGTGCTGCTGCTGCTGCTGCATCGCAGCAATAAGCTACGTGCTTAGGGACGTGAAACAGCAGAGGCCCGTAACGAAAGCCCACAGAAGCAAACGAGTTGAGGAGACAGCAAAGAGACAAAGGCTGCATCTCTGCTGCTAAGCTGCCGGCTCTCTCTGCTGCTGCCTCCAAGACTTTAAACAACTCTTCTTTAGTTAGGCCCTTCTCTTCTTCTCGCTGCTGCTGCTCCTGCTGCTGCTGCTGCTCCTGCTGCTCCTGCTGCTCCTGCTCCTGGTCCTGGTCCTGGTGCTGTTGCAGTTGCTGCTGTTGCTGCTGGCGGCGCTGCTGCTGCCGGCGTCGCTGCTGCTGCTGCTGCTGCTGCTGGCGGAAGTATTTGGTGAGGGCAGCAGCAACGAGACAGAGAGCATGCAGATCGAAGGTTTGCATGCGTTTTGCTGCTGCTGCTGCTGCTGCTTTGACGAAGGCAGGAGATGCTGCCTCAGCAGCAACAGCAGCATGCAGCAGCATTGCTAGATCTCTAGGTTGCATGCGTTGTTGCTGCTGGTGCTGCTGCGCGTATTTGTGCTTGTGCTTCTGCTGCTGCTGCTGCTGCTGCAGCAAGCGCTGCGCTGCAGCAGCAACCAGCTGCAGCACGAACTGATTGTTTACTCGCAGCCTATACAGCGCGTTTGCTGCTAAAGCGAGGCCCTTGGGGTTGAGGCCCCCAACTAAGCGGCAGAGAGCAGCAGAAAGAGCAGCAAGAAGCTTAGCATCTTGCAGCTGCAGCGCAGCCGCAGCATGAAGAGACATTACAAGCCCCCCAGGAGACAGCCTGTCTCTTCTTATTATTAATTCTTGTCTTAATACATTAAAAAGAGAAATAGGCATACACCCCAAACGAACAAGTGAAGAAAAAGTGTAGGCTACTTGGTTTGCTGTCATTGCTGCTGCATTACGTGCTGCTTGCTGCTGCAGCTGCTGCAGCAGCACGGGGTGTACACACAGCAGCTGCCCATACGCCTGAATAGCTCTGCAAACTGCAGCAGCAGATAGCTGCTGCAGCTGCGGCAGCAGTGCTGCTGCTGCTGCTTCAAGCAGCGGAGTATAGCGGAGACCTATACCCCCAAAGAGAGACAATAAAAGACATAAATCTTCACCAGGGATTGCTGCTGCAACAGCAGCAGCACGCCGAGCAAACGCAGCCCACAACGCCTTGTCTTGCTGCTTGTTCCTGCAGCAAAACAAGCCAGCAGCAGCAACAACAGCAACAGCAGCAATAGCAGCAGCAGCAGCAGCAGCAAGCAGCAAACAGAAAGAAGCATAAAAAGGGAGAGTCCCACAAACTGCTGAAGAGAGACACTGCAAGCGACGGAGACACTCAAATGCATGCAAACCGCAGCAGCAGCAGCAGCAGCAGCAATGCAAGCAGCAGCAGCAGCAACAACGGGAGATCACCGGCAACAACAAACGAATGGAGAAGCAGCAGCAGCAGCAACAGCAACAGCAACCGCACGGAGAGGCAGCGGCACCAGCACCAGAAGCAGCAGCAGCAGCAAAAGGCAGCAGCAGCAGCAGCAGCAAACGCATATTCGTAAAGTTGGGTTGAGCACCTTGCTGCTCGGATGATGCTGCGGGTAAGGACGAAGGGGGACATAGAAGCCACATACTCCCCAGCTGCTGCTGCTGCTGCTGCTGCTGCGTCATTCCCTGCTGCTCCCTCTGCTGCTGCTGCTGGCACAGTCAACGCCCCAGAAACAGCAGCAGCAGCAGCAGCAGCAGCAGGTGGGCCCTTTACTGTCTCCGTTTGCTTCTCAACAAATCGAATAGCAGAAGCGGTGCTGAGTTGCTGCCGGCTCTCAACTTGTAACAACTGCTGCAGCAGGGGCCCCCTAAGGGGCCCCCTGAGGGGCCCCTTGAGGGGCCCTAAGACGGGCCTGCCGTGGGGCCCCCAGTGGGGCCCCCTGTGGGGCCCCCCGAGGGGCCTTATGAGGGGCCCCCCGAGGGGCTCCAAGAGCGGCCCCACAAGGGGGCCCCCGGGGGCCCCCCTGGGGGCCCCCCTGGGTAGCAGGACCATGAGGTTGTAGCTTCTTGGGGGCCCCCCTGAGAGGAGAGTTAAAGGGGGCCCTAGGGTCTTGTGGGGAGGAAGGGGTACATGGGGGCCCTTATAAAAAAGATGCTCTGAGCTGCTGCTATAGAAGACAGACAATATCCAGCGACGCTGCTGCTGATGCTGCTGCTGCTGCTGTTGTTGTTGTTTGTGCTGCTGCTGCTGCTGCCAATGCAGCTTCTGCGGCTCTTAGGGCTCCTGCTGCTGCTGCTTTGCCTCTGTTGCTTCACCCTAGATGCAGAAGCATTAATACTTCTAAAGAAGAAGGGCCCCTCAATTCAGTGTACACCGTGGGGGGCCCCCCGGGGGCCCCTCTATACTTAATCCCGCATAGGGGGGCCCCTAGGGCCTCTAGAGATAATCCACGAGACACTATATTATTATACAGACGAACGCAGTTAAATATTAAATTAATTAAAAATAAAAAGCAGTTTATGCTTCATTATTGTAGCTGTTGCTGCTGCTGTTGTTTCTGCTGCTGCTGCTGCTGCTGCAGTTGCTGCTGCTGCTTACTGCAGCAGCAGCAGCAGCAACAGGGGCCCCAAGAGTGGGCCCCTTGGGTGGAGAAGGGCCTCATGCATGCTGAAGGTTTTGTTGTTTGATTTGTTGTTACAAGTATTTTGTTTGTTTTTTTTGTTTTTTCTTCTTATAAGTAAATATATAATAAACCCGCAGCCCCCCCTCTCTCTGCCTGGGTTTCTCTGTACAGGAGCTGCAGCAGCAGCTGCTACAGCAACACCAACAGCAGCAGCAGCAGCAACAGCAGCAGAAGCAGCAACAGCAACAGCCACATCAGGCGCAACAACAGCTACAACTGCAGCAACAGCAGCAGCAGCAGCAGCAGCAACAGCAGCAGCAGCAGCAGCAGCGTCAGCAGCAGCCTCAGCAGCATCAGCTGGTGGATACAGGAAGAAAAGTTTTTGTTTGTATTTTCTTTGCGTGTGTTTGTTTGAGCGTGAGTGGGTGACAATGAGCAGCAGCAGCAGCAGCAACAGCAGCAGCAGCAGCAGCAGCAGCGCGGGCGTGGTGAGTGGAGGCCCTAGCTACCTTCCTCTTGCTTTAGTAGATAAATGTGTGGGGTCTAGGGTCTGGGTTATAATGAAAGGAGACAAAGAATTAGTAGGGACTCTGAGGGGCTTCGACGACTACGTCAACATGGTGAGCTGCCTAGACACCCCAACTGCAGCAAACACCAAGCCTCTTTGCTGCACTCGCGTGGGGGGCCTCACACCTCTCAAAGGGGGCCCCTAAAGCCTCCTCTTGGGGCCCCTACACTACTCTATGGGGGCCCCTGAACAGCTGTCTAAGGGGGCCCCCAGGGAGAGCTGTAGGGGCCCCTATAGAGAAGTGTAGGGGCCCCTATAGAGATGTGCAGGGGCCCCTATAGAGAAGTATAGGGGCCCCTATAGAGATGTGCAGGGGCCCCTATAGAGACGTATAGGGGCCCCCAAGGTTGTAGCGGCCCCTGTATGTACTGGGGCCCCTATGAGGGCTACAGGGGCCCCCAGGAGAGGTGTAGGGGCCCCCATAGGGGGCGTTAAGGGCCCCTATCGAGCTAGCTAGCTAGCCATCTATCTATCTATATATCTATATATCTAGCTAGCTAGCTATCCATCTATTCATCTATCAATCTATCTATCTATCTAGCTAGCTAGCTAGATAGCCGTCTATCTATCTATCTATCTATCTATCTATCTGTCTGCCTAGCTAGCTAGTTAGCTGGCTATCTATCTATCTATCTGTCTGTCTGTCTAGCTAGCTGTCTAGCTAGCTAGCTAGCTAGCTAAGTAGGCGTGTATGTGTGCTTGGCATTGCTGCAGGTGCTGGACGACGTAACAGAGTTTTCGTTTACAGCTCAAGGCGTGAAGAAAACATATTTAGACACAATTCTATTAAACGGCAGCAATGTATGCATCTTAGTACCGGGAGGAAGCCCTGAAGAGGCCCCTAATGCTGCATCTGCTGCTGCAGCAACTGCAGCAGAGACTGCCAGGAGCTAAACACAACTTCTATACCCTCGCCTGCTTATTCATATTCTGCTGCTCCTCCTGCTCCTGCTGTTGCTGCTAGTAACTGCTGCTCCAGCAGCTCGAGCTGCAGCTACCCAACCGGTAGGGATACAACAGGAAGTCATGCAGCAGCAGCAGCAACGGCAGCAGCAGCAGCAGCAACAGCAACAGCAGCAGCAGCAACTGCAGCAACTGCAGCAGCAGCAACTGCAGCAACAGCAGCAGCAGCAACTGCAGCAGCAGCAGCAGCAGCAGCAGCAAACGACAAACTGCAGAGGTTGATGCGCTGCGCTTTTAGGGATTTTCTTTCTTTACCTCCAACAATTTGAATGTCTTTGTCTTTTCTGTCTTTGTTTGTTTATTTGTTTGTTTATTTGTTTATTTATTTGTTTATTTATTTGTTTTTGTCTCTCTTTCTTCTCTCTCAGTCTCCGTCTGTCTTTGTCTCCGTCTCCTCCTGTCTCTTTCTCTGCCTGTGTCTCCTCCTGTCTCTGTCTTTGTTTCTGTCTCCTTTTGTCTTTGTCTCTGTCTCCTTATGTCTTTGTCTCTGTCTCTGTCTCCTCTTGTCTTTGTCTCTGTCTCTGTCTCCTTCTGTCCTTGTCTTTGTCTTTGTTTGTTTGTTACCCTCGTTTGTTTGTCTTTCTCTCCTGTCTACAACTCATTAGTGATTTAGTATATTAATATATTAGTATATTAGTATATTAATATATTGACAAAGACAAAAGGAGACAGACAGAGACAAAACGAGACAGACAGAGATAAGGAGACAGACAGAGACAAGCGGGTAGAGAGACAGCCCCGTGCATGCAGCTAACAGATGATACTCTACCTTAGGTCCCCCCCTAGCTAGCTAGCTAATCAGCTATGTATCTAGCTAGCTAGCTAGCTAGCTGGCTAGCTAGCTAGGAGTTTGTTTCTGTTGCATAGTTTTCTAAACTGACGAATGTCAATAAATATCTGCTAGGTCCAGCGACACAAAAAAACAGACAGGCGATAGTCTAGTTGTGCAGACACTGCAGCTGCTGCTGCAGCAACTGCTGCTGCAGCAACTGCTGCAGCTGCTGCAGCTGCTGCAGCTGCTGCAAAAGCGCCAAAGCAATTGCGATCTCTTTGAGGTGCAGGAGAAGAACGGGGACGACACTGTCTCCTTTTTGTCTCTTGCAGCAGAAACAGTGCTACTTTGAACCTGTCTTAAACACTCTAGTGTTGTTGCTGCTGCTGCTGCTGCTGCTGCTGCAGCTGCAGCAGCAGCAGTACTTTCAGGTGTATGCACACACCCCCACATCAACACGTGTTGGATAGACCTGCTAATGGTGTGCCCTAATGGGCTGTTTCCAGCAGCAGCAACTGCTGCTGCTGCTGCTGCACCTGCTTCTGCTGCTGTATTTGCTGCTGCTGCTGCTGCTGCTGCTGCTGCACATGCTGCTGCTGCTTCACCTGTTACACCTGCTTCAGCATCCTTTCTGCTGCTGCTGCTGCAGCAAGTGCAGATACATCAGCAGCACCTCCGCCCCAGCCACCACTACCAGCATCATGATCATCATCATCATCAGCAGCAGCAGCAGCAGCAGCAGAAGGTGCATCAGGAGCAGCAGGATGAGGAGAATAGGGTTTATTTAGTAGCTCTAGCTTTCTTCGCTAGAGCATCCTGAACAACTCGAGTTGTAACAACGCCTTCACAGACATTATCTGTATCAATTCTAAAGCAAGTCTCACTAAACTCTATTTGCTCATCTTTAAAGCAAGTACCCATCTGAGGTGTATCTTGAGGTGTACACTCTGTTACTCTAAACTCTCCTTCACAAGGCTCCAGCACTGTCTCCTCAAGCACAACTTCGCAGTCTTCTAAGTCGTAGTAGGGGACAGTCGTACATTTCTGAGCACAAACAAACAAATATAAATAAATAAATATATAAATATATATATAAATATATATATATATATATTTATATTATATATTTAGTTATTTAATTTAGTTAGTTAGATTATTTATCTATTTATTTATTTATTTATTTAATTAGTTTATTTAATTAGTTGGTTATTTAGACAGCAGCAGCAGCAAGTGCAGCAGCAGAAGCGGGAAAAACAACAGCAGCTGCAACAGCCGCAACAGCAGCAACAGCAGCACCAGCAGCAACAGCATCGACAGCAATATCAGCAGCAACAGCAACGACAGCAATATCAGCAGCAACAGCATCAACAGCAGCAACAGCAGCAACAGCAGCAGCAACAGCAGCAGCAGCGACAGCAGCAACAGCAGCAGCAGCAGCAGCAATAGTGTTTAAGTTGTGCATTTTATATGATTGGTCAGGTGTACCTCTTCGAAGACAATTTGTTTGCAGGGGTACTGTACTTCTTCATCTTTAATCTCAGTGCAGATCTCCGTCGAAGGTATATCAACATCTTGACAAACTTGTTTCTTATATTTTCTTGTACAAGATACTTCTTGTGTTTCTTGAAGGTTAGCAACACAAGAAGCATCAACTAAGCCTTGTGTCTCTACACAAACTTCTTTAGCATATGTACTTGTGCACGGAAATGTATCTGTCTTTGTCTCATACTTAACACCTTTTTTAGTTACAGGTTTACTAACAGTCTCACAGACTGTCTCTTCAACAAAGTCCTCGCATTCTGTCTCTACTGTTCTTGTCGACGGCTTCTCACAAGTCTTTTCTTTTGTCTTTTCTATCATCTTACACTCTTCTTGAGACTCCATCTGCATGCAAGGCTGCTGCTTCATTACTGTTGCTTCTCGCTGACAAGTCCCCGGTACAGTTACCTAAAGAATAATAAATAAATAAATATATAAATAAATAAATATATAAATGAATATATAGATATGTAAATAAATAAATAAATAAATACATAAATAAGTAAATAAATAAATAGATAAATAAATAAATAAATTAATTAATTAATTAAATACATAACTAAATTAATAAAATAAATAAATAAATAAATAAATATGT